ACGGATCGAAATGTCAGGTTCAACTTGTGGTCAAAACCTGGTCGTTGTTGACACACGTCCCAGTGATATTCTTGAAGTTCTTGTTCTTGGCTAGCACGGCTGGATTCATGCAAAGGCCTTTATACTCCCCGTCCATCGTGACGACGATGCCAGTACTATCCGATTTTGCTGCACAGTGAGCTGCAGTCATTGCGTAATTGAGAGGCGAGAGTCGAGCTATGCTCATAACTGTATTCGCCGTGAATTCGCATCTGTCATGTTATACTCTTGAGCTATCTGGCAGTCTTAGAACAATTAGAAGATACATACTTTCCACGATATGTATCATCCAAGTTGCATGTCCCTTTTACATTGTTATATTTGCAGTCGGGATCATATTCCGTGGTCGATATTGTGATGTCGACGTGCTGCTGGTATAAGTTCCAACTATGTGCGATCGGGACTTTACGGCATTCTTCCAGAGTAATTTCGAGCAGAAATGCGCGCTTGGGTAGAATGATACTAAGAAAATTGGTTGAAAGGAAGGAAGGTTGATTAGTAACACTGCAGAATGTGGAACATAGAATCAAACCTTACCCGTGCATCCAAATCGCATTTAGTATTGAAGGCGATGGCATTGGATGTGCCAAAATGGTCATACAGAAGTAGACAGCTACTGCAAGAGGGGACTGTATGAAAAATCTCCAAAGCACGGCCATGATTTTTTTGTTGTCGTTTTGAGTGAATACAAGAGGCGGGAGAAAACAGAAAGGCCAGCCTTCCTCGAAATGTGCATAACGAGCTTGACACGAGAGATTTTATACTCCAAATCACAGAGATAGCATAGCCGTTCGGGGCATCTTATTCCGGGCTACGATATGGCGACATTTGAACGAAATATTGGATAAGAGTTTGGTCGTCAGGCTTCGGTTCAGTGAGGTACATAGCACTGCAGAGAGCCGGGTGCACTGGTACCGTGCCATAGGGCGATTTACATCACGTATTGGACTCGGATATCCAAAAATATTAAAACGGTTGGGCAGAGTGGATAAGGTGCGATAACTTGACTCTTGATTTCCTTTGAGGAGGGGTTGATATTTTTCGTCGGTGATATTCAACGGGGATACGGAGGATGTCTACAAATCAATCAATGAAACCATCGATGTAAAGACGCGTCATTTTTGAAATAGCTACCATCATCCCGGAGCATGGAAGTTGGTTGTAACCGTCAATAGCGTCGGAAGAAGCCCCATTGAAGTGACACGTCGTAATACAGACGCGGCTGACGTCATCACGAGTTCTTTCTTTTTCGCAAATTCGATGACATCATACTCCTGCGTCATAAGCACTTTGAAGGTATATAAACCCCATCTCTCTTCCTTTCTTTTCTTCACCAACCTAATCCAATACCACCACCAATACCTCGCATACACGCTTAATAACATCGTCGCAATGTCTTCTGACAACTCTCCCAGGTTCGTCGTCGCTCTCGACGCAGGTTCTTCTCTTGAATGCTAACCATCGCTTACAGCAAGACCTCTGGTCAATATCATTCCGTCAAGGGAACCGTCGTCGAGACCGTGAGCAATAATATCGTTGTATATGTTTCTCTTTTCTGACAAGTTTTCGTAGGTCGGCAACTTGACAGGCTCCACGTCGTGGCAGCAGTCCGGCAAGACCGAGCACGCCCAGGGCGAGACCGAGTACAAGGCCGCTCAAGCTCAAGGCTACGCCGAAGGCACTGGTGATCGTCTTACGGGATACAAAGACTCCATCGTTGGTGCTGTTACGGGCGACAAGGCTCAGCAGACGTCTGGTAAGTCGTCGACTGTCAGCCATCAGGATGGGCCACTCATGTCTTTCTTTTACACTCAGGCAACGTCCAGCAGGAGAAAGGAAAGGCGCAGCAGCAAGTCAACGATCCTACTGCCTGATCATTCGGCTTCGCATAAACTCAGTCTCGACTTGTAATACAAACTGTACAATTACGTGTAATCGCATATAAACTCGTTCCCAGCCTCTGGCTGTGATTATAACTGTTTCTTAGGCGTTCTTGTATCAACCATATCATCGTTCATAGTATTCAAATGGGATCAATCACACAATCGACAACCGCACACCTTCGTTCCTCCAAAACAATCCTGACAGCTTCCGCGATGGTCGACTTCAAACCCTTCTCGCCTTGATTGATGCCCAGACCCACAGTTGCGGGCCATACCCAATCACCAGAAGC